TATCTATCTATCTATTTATTTATTTATTTATTAAGACTTATTTTAAATCCAGTGAAGCGATATATTTAAGGGGGAAAAAATGAATAGTATTTCAACAATGACAGAGATACTTAAGAGAAATTACTCTGAAGATGCTGGCTGTTCCCATCTTCAATTAGGTGATGTAATAAATGACAACCAAAATATTCATAATTGGAACATCTTTGCACATTAGAGGGGATTAAATAAGTGTAAGCTTATTGCCTTGTACCTACTCCTGTTAGTTCTGACAGTGAAATGGTGCAAGCTGCTTCCTCCTCTCACTTAATACAAATAGGTCAGCCATGGCCAGCAGAGGAAGGAGACCACTTCTATTTAATACTCTCCTGAGTGGTATAATTCATATAAATTAGCATAGCCTCTCAAAGAATTTAGGGTGGAGCTGTATGATCAGAAAGTTTAAGTACTCCAAGAAACATATTTGCCAGCTTCTGCTTTTTTTGTTTTTTACATTAAACATAACGATTTGTTTCATGTTTGTTTTTGTGGCTTGTTTGTTTTTGCTTAAGCTTGGAGAAAGGTTTAATACAACACCAGTGATAAACTTAAGTATGAATAAAATTACTCAGTTATGGTAATCAGTGATACATCTATTGAATTTTAGAGGACACTGGCTCATATTTTTTCCTTTTTTTCCCTCCAGAAACGACTTTTAGATTCAGATTTCATTGATCCTTTAATGAATAAAAAAGCTCGAATATCTCACCTGACAAATAGAGTGCCACCAACATTAAATGGTCATTTGAATTCCACCAGTGAAAAATCTGCTGCAGGCCTGCCACCGCCCCCTGCAGCTGCTGCCATCCCCAGTGCTCCACCACTGCCTTCAACCCACCTGCCTGTCTCCAATCCTCCTCAGACTGTAAATTCTAACTCCAATTCCCCTAGCACTCCAGAAGGCCGGGGGACTCAAGACCTACCTGTTGACGGTTTTAGTCAAAACAGTAGTATCTATGAGGACCAGCAAGACAAATATACCTCTAGGACTTCTCTGGAAACCTTACCCCCTGGTTCAGTTCTACTAAAGTGTCCAAAGCCTATGGAAGAAAACCATTCAATGTCTCACAAAAAGTCCAAAAAGAAGTCTAAAAAACACAAGGAAAAAGACCAAATAAAGAAGCATGACATTGAGATGATGGAGATAAAGGAAGAGGACCTTGAGAGAGATGAGGAAGTTGCCAAGCTGAACAGCTCCAGTCCGGATTCCAGTGAAGGTATTTTACACTTGTAAAAATCTACTACACATGTAAATGGATGGGAAGAGGGGGATGTCATGAGTGTGAGATTATACCATTTTTAATTAGTGATGCTTTTTTTTATCAAATGAGCTAATTTAGTTATTAATTTAAGTTTTTGAGCAGATTTTTTTTTTGCATTTTACAGCAGTCATTTTTGGTCTCTTTTTAGCCAACTATTAAATATGGCTTCTGCATTTGTTATTAAGATGATGATATTTGAAAATGACCCTGTCATCCTCCAGAGACCCCTTTTAGAAATGGGCTTCATTGCTCTTTTCCAAAACTGTCATAGTATTGTGCAATCTCAGCATTACATGCCATTCTTGAACTGATTTAGCCAGACACACAAATAGCAATAAAAATATTTATTTCCTTCTTTGCCAAAAACACAGGGTCACCCTTGCTTTAATTAATATTAGCATGGGGGAAATGTTAAAATTTTTATAAAGCAGGCAAGGTAAAATACATTTATAGAGCCATAACATCATCTTCATTCAGAGTAAAAGCAATCTGTCTTGTGTAAGACTGCTGGGTATTAGCTCAATAGATCTTAAGAACTTTTTTTAATTTTGAGAACACTTTAGTAAATTAATGTCATTTATTATTAATGAAATCAATCATTTCAAGCTTTTGGATGCTTTCAAAGCCAAATATCTAGAGTCCCAAAGAAGCTTAAAAATAATATTTTACCTCTAAAGAAAAGCTAACCTTACCTGAGGTATAGTGATTTTTAAAACCTGATGACAGAATTAGATATTTCTTACTTAAAAAAAAAAAAAAAAAGAGTTGTGGTCTAAAACTTAATGTCTTGCCTGCCAGCACGTAGGAGATTCAAGCCCATCATTTAGCATTGCTGCCAGTTTTAAACCCAGCATAACTAAGGCAAAATTCCCCAGGAAAATACAACTTAAGAAAAGTTACTTTAATGAATAGAGTTTAAGGATTGTGGTCTTTCTGTAATTTGTCTATAATACTGAAAGTCTGCAATCCTTATATTTAACTGACCATTTTTACCATAAGAAAGAAGTTTTAATTGTAGAATAGTATGATATAGGGCCTTTATTGACCCGGATTGAGTATATTGAATGTCAAAGCATATCTGTTGAAATATTTAGATCAGTATTATACTATATAGTAGCCTAAGAGATAGATGTAAGCTTTTTTCCTTGAACACTGTCGCACTTGAATTTGTGAGATCAGGAAAAGGCAAGTGGTAATAAAACCCGTAGATGGTGATCCTGAGTCAGAGGCTCATTCTGGGAGGACTGTATCCTAGTATAATGAGACCTTCTCAGAGTTAGAGGCCTAGAAAAGCTGACCTAGTCTCTGAATCCTTTGATGAAGATATAGTACCTTTCAAAGACAATTGAGATTATTGTAAACTGAGGATTGATCCAGACTCACATTCTTTAATATCTGTTGGAACTTATCTATTGTCTTTGGCAAAGGAGAATCTAGGTGATATAGACTTGATGCCTTTTCCTTTAAGACTCAGCCTGTTGCAAAAAAAAAGCTTTTACCAAAACCTGAAACAAATATACAGTACTCCCACCCCTGTCATCCACAGTTTTGCTTTCCGTGGTTTCAGTTACCCTCGGTCAGCCGCAGTCTGAAAATAAACAACTCATAAGTTTTAAATTCCATACTGTTCTGAGTAGCATGATGAAATCTCATACTGTCCCACTCTGTACCACCCAGGATGTGAATTATCTCTTTGTCCAGCGTCACCACCCTGTGTATGCTACCTGCCTATCACTTAGTAGCCGTCTTGGTTATCAGATCAACTGTCTCGCTATCACAGCACTTGTATTCAAGTAACCCTTATATTACTTGCGCAAGAATAGTGATGCAGGCAATTCAGATATGCCAAAGAGAAGCCATAAAGTGTATCTACGTATAGGAAAAAATGTAGTATATATAGGGTTTGGTACTATTGATGGTTTCAGGCATCCACTGAAGGTCTTGGAACATATCGCCTCTTGGATAAGGGAGGACTACTACTGTATGTATATGTATATGTACACAAACAATATGAACAGTAAGTCCACAGAGTCTACATAACTTATTTAATATGCTTCATTCTTTAAAATATTAAACCAAAAAATTATCAGATATTCACTTTTGTTTTACATTGAACATGTGTGTTTTGCCAGCAAACCAGGGTTAAGGTTTGAGTTATTACTTTAATTTTACTTTGAATGTTAAAAAATTACCCTGGTAAAAAGTCTAAACATACCCTCCAGAAATGGTGCGTTCAAACAAATGGAATACGGAGGGGTTTTATACACTTTCACAGCATAGTCCTGAATGGCTAATGCTTTATTTCATTTTAAAAACAAATCTGTGTTATTATGACGGTTAGAGAGTAGAGGAGTATAAATCAGCACTCAGTAATAACTTACTTTAAATTACTTTAAACTGATGAGAAAACTTCTCACCCAGTTCCACTGTCTACATACAAAAAGGGTACTGGTCAAAATACAGTGACCGAAACAGTCTGCTACCTGACTTCTTTGTTTCATCTGCCTTGTTTGAATCTTATGAAAAGTAGATGTTGATGTAAAATTTGTATTTCCTATTGTCTGGCTGCATCTGCCACCACAATCTTTGAATTGCTGGGCAGATGCCACAACTGTTGTTGAAAGAATAGAAGATTGACCTTGGGTTAAGATGGAATTCCTTTATTGTGCAGACACTGCAGTAGCCAGGGTGCTTTCAATGCCTGGCATGGTTCTGCTGGCGCTGGTCATAGGGCCTCTATTGTTCATGTTCAATTGTATTCCTTGCTCACTGTTGCTTATTGAGATGGAAGAATAGAATTTGAGGAAAAGTGTTCCAGATGTTTCTGATCTATTTTAGAATTATAGGCATTTTATTACCATACTGTTTGGTGAACTCTTGAATTTTTTTTTTTCTTCATAGGAGTTAAAGAGGGTTGTACTGCCTCCACAGAGCCTTCTTCAACAATTGAACTCCCAGATTATTTGATGTAAGTTCACATGTCTGCCAATGAGAGAGAACTGTTTAATTTTAGAAAATTTGCAAATTCTTTTTCCCATAATTTGCAAATCAGAAAAGTAAGAAGTTCCAGAAATAGAGTCCCAGAGCTACCCTTGCAATTGAAAGGCTGCCATTAAGACTGCTTGTCCCAAATCCACCCTTGTCTGCCTGAGCAGGTTGTGCCTCCCCCTGCTCTGAGCTCTGCTTGGTGGCCTGTAAGTATAGAGAATCCTATCCTTTGTTCCGGGGCCAGGCTAAGCATTTGATTATGGAAGATTTCAAGGATCTGACTTCAAAACTGAGAGTCTGTCAATGCATGGTCATTCCCTGTGCATATTACCGATAAAGTATGTAAACCTCTGCAGTTAATACAAAGTAAAGATAGGTTGATTTTTATTTAAATAAAGCTCTGCCATCAAATGAATTTTAATAGGAGAGACCATTAAAATTTGATCATCTCACTTTAGCATGGGTAATATATAATGTTTTTCTCATTATGACAAGTTGCTAAATGCTGAGCTGGGGACATTTTTGTAACTGGTTATCACAGAAATTATAACTTAGACACATAATTCTAGCTTTTTTACAGACTCAAAGGCTTCTATAAGAAGAAAATAATTAAGTTGCAAAAGCCTGGAAAAATGGAGAGTGAAAGAACAAACAGATCTGACTGTCAATAGCTTTAAAAATGAACAAATGCACAAAATAGCTTGAATGTAGAATGGAAAATGGAATCTGGGTTGTATAAACATTTTTTCTGTATTTAGTAGCATCTCAGGATGGACAAAGTTCAACTATGCTATTTAGCTCTCCATGTCCTATGAAATGCTCATTTCCAGAGGAAAGAACATTCTATACTTAAAATGTGTTACTTTTGCTTAACAGTAGTGTGAAAGCTATACTTATTGGGAAATGATGCAGCATGAAACCGTAATGCTGGTTTTTATCTCTCAACTAAAAGGAACTCAAGAAACCATGCTGAGTACTCTCATCTGAGGTAGTGTACAGTTTTAGAGTTGTGTGGGGGAGCTTTGAAAAGCAGCCACCACCACCAAGTTGGCCCAGGAAGGGTTGGTTGGGGACAGCACCTGTCTCCATGGATGAGGAGGTTCACCTCTCCAACTGCAAACTCACTTCTTCCCCCGCCCCAACCCCCCCTCAAATAACAACCGCAGTACTGCGCTCTCATTCTCTTGGGACAGATTTTTGAATTCCATTTTTTTTTGTCATAGTGATGTATACTGGTATATGACAGATCATGTGGGGTGACTGAAAAATAATTCTAACCTTTTCCTCATGGATTCAGGCTGTGTTTTGTCAACTTTCATCAGTTAATTCTATATTTAAAAAATTTTTAACTTAACTGATCTAAGGATGGTTGCTGCATCTGCCTCAGTGTATTTCTGTATATTCGTCATGTTTCTAGCTCTTTTAAAAATCGCAAAAGTATATAACCTATGTGATTGCTTGCTTAATTTGCTTAAGTAAAAGCAATTTATTTTAACCAAAAACTAAGTCTTACATAAATACAGAAAATTTTCTAAATATGGTGAGAAAGCATGAATTTTCAGAAATATCACCCAAAATATGAAACTTGAGTTTACTTCATAAGAAACCAAAAGATCATACCATAAAACCTTAATGATTAGCCTCCAAATAATTTGTACTTAACCACAATATTCCTAATTTTTATGTAATAAGAATACTTCTGCTACTTGTGGTTGTGAATTATCCACTGTTTTAAAATTTTATTCCATCACTGCATTAAGAGCCAACTGTAGAACTCGTAATTTTTGTTTAAAATAGTGAAATGCTTTTCATTAAAATGCCAGTATAATCAAGTAATCTTCTATACTAGCAACACAACTGTTAGCCAGTTTGTTATTTTTCCTGAAGAATTTATTAAATGAAATACAAATACTAAGGGTGTGGTTTTGAGAAAGCAGGATAGATATTTTGTGTAACAAATTGAACCTGAGTTTAGGTCAGTTAAGACATTTTGCTTACATATACTGATCCCTAGGAACCTCTTTCTCCCCACTGAGCTCCCTCTGGTGTGCAGTCAGAACAGCCCACTGCTTGCTTGGCTGGCTGGCAGTGTTCCTTTTACAGCAAAGACACCAGCAGGGCAGCTGTAAATCAGCATACTACCATTATATTGATTACACTTAGAAAATTAAACCTCCACACTGTCTAACTCAGCATGAATAAAAATATTAATGAGGACATTAAGGTTGCTCACTGCATCATTTTACTCATATTTCCAACTAGGCATCTGTGCTATCGCATTTTAAATAAAACTAGTAAGATTATCTAAAACCATTTTGGAGAGCACTGAACTCCAAGGTTTTCCAACAGTGAAGAATATTGTGTAACCCCTGGGGGCATTCTGAAGCTTCTGTCACCTGCCTTAAATTGCTTTGAAATCTCAATTTTTATCTCAGAAAAGTCAAGGGAATTTTGCATTCCATGACAGAAGCACAGAGTACAAAGACCCAGATTAGACCCTGATGTGGTTCTCAGATCCACAAACAAATAATGTTAACTTGTTTTAATATTAAAGTGCTGTTTTAATTTACTTACCACTGAATAAACTGACACTCTGGGAAAATGTTCTTCACAGGTCCCTAGAAGTATTCACACTCCAAAGTAAAATGGATTTGTGGCACTTTTATGAAGAATGTAAATTAAATTAATAGTATAACTGCCTTTCTGTATGCATGGTATGACATTTAAATGTTTGAAAAGAACTAAAAAAAAAAAAAATACTCTTTTTTCCTGGTCTCTCATTTTAAAAACATGATAAACAATTCCTTCTTTGTATTTCGTGTATTTGCCTAGTCAAAAATGGGAGGAAATTAACAGAGGAAACAAGTTTAGGGCACCTTGATGGCATCAGGTGTGAAAGGCCAAAAGACAGATTTGCTTTCATAAAGCAGCAAGGTCTAGAGAGAGCTTTGACTTCAGCACTAAGTGATGATGTGACATTTTCCTGGTTTCAGTTACCCATCAAGGCGAGTCCTTCTGTCTTCATTGACTCATAATAGAGGGGTTGGTTTCTGCTGCTAGTGTGGTAGTGAATAATTTGGAGTAGAGAAAGGTTTAGGAAGCTACGTCTATGAGTATTGTTTTCTTTTTATATGATTTCACTTTAATTCCACTTTAATTCTACATTTTTTTTTTTTTTTTTTTAATTCACTCTCCTTCATTGAAGCTCTTAAGCTCTTCTGTAGCATAATTTCACCTGGAAGTTTTTCGAAGGAATGACATGGCAGCAAACAGTGACAAAGCAACATTCAAACTAGAGAAACATATAGTTTCTAAAGATCTAGTTTCTAAAGATTTTGTTTAAGTCTGGAATTTATTCATTTTGTTTACTCTGTAGCTACTCTCCATTTATCTTTTACCTTTTTCTCTTATTAGAAAATATATTGCTATTGTCTCCTATGAGCAACGCCAGAATTACAAGGATGACTTCAATGCGGAGTACGATGAGTACCGGGCCTTGCACGCCAGAATGGAGACTGTAGCTAGGAGATTTATCAAACTGGACGCGCAACGAAAGCGCCTTTCTCCAGGCTCAAAAGAGTATCAGGTAAATGCATCTGTTCCTAAGTGGACTGACTTTTTATATTTTTCTTTCATTCTTTCTCTGCCCTGCCCATCCCCAGGTATCCCGTGAGCCTTCAGAGAAAGACTGCTCGCTGACCAGCTTCTCTCCAGCTTTGGCTTTCATTTAAAATTAACCAGGAAACTAAATATTTTGAAATAGTTCTTGAAAATAAGTAAACACAATGAACCTGTATTTCTTCCAGTGGAAAAAATAACTTTTTATATAACATGTATAAAATAAATAATATATACTTATATTTACTATAAAATATGGTGTACTGAGAAAAATACCAAACACAGCTAAATAGGAAAAAGAAGTTAGACTTGGGATTTATTGAAATATTTGATTACATTGCCAGCTCAACTCAGACTACAGCTCCTAGATCTGGTGCTGTTTCCCAAAATTGCCATTTCAAGTAAATATTTCAATTAACTTTTTTTAACCTAAATTGGGCATAGAATAGGCAAGATATAGCCATAGAATATAAAGGGAGCTTAATATCACAGAGGTTTGGGGTTTAAGTGAAGAAAAGCTTGGTGCTTCCAGCTGTTCCAGAGATTGACATTTTTGTTAACAGATATTGATCTGTTTTCACTTCTCACCTTTAAGTGGTAATATTTCTACAGCTAACCAAGAGCAGTAGACACCTGACGGATTGTTCTCATAGTTCTTAGCAAAGGTTAATATAGATGTTTCACTCCTCGTGTAAGCCAGATAACTTTGTCATACTTCACAGGCATAGGTGGTGTCTTCACCCCAGCCCACTACCATTGTTCTGACAGAAGCCTAAGTGAGAATGGACGGGTTTTCCCACAATGGGAAAATCAGCCCGAGAGCGCCTCTGCCCTAGAGATTTATTATGTCTCCTGTTAGTGTGCCTTTATTTCTTAAAGTGCTTAGAATTTTAGAAGATTTTGCCAGAAGTTGGTCTTTGAGGAGGGGGAGGGTGCAAGAAGTCAGTGATATGGTAGTTTTTTTCTATATAGTTATTTACCAGCATGCCATGATTATATTTAATATGTAATTCCAAAGATTTCTTAGTGGTTAGGAGCAGGATCAAGAGCCAGAATGCCTGGGTTTGAGTCCCAGCTCTGCTACCATTTAATATTTAGCTGACCTTGGGAAAGTTACTTAATTTTCCTCAAAATCCTCAAAATCTCCATCCATAAAATGAGGTGATTATAGAGTTGTGCAGAATAAATGTAAGCATGCGTAAACTACTTAGATCCATCATACATCAAGTTATATGGTACAGAAAGGTTAGCTGTTTTCCCCAGCCACCCAATTTCCCTCCCCAGAGGCAATCAGTCATATTGGTTTTCAGTGTATTCTTTCAGAGGTACGTGTGTGTTTATTTAAGATGTATATACACAAGCAAATTCACATATATACCATATTTAATTTAATCTGAGATGTCATCAGTTATAAGATGCACCATTGTCTTATTTCCAGTAAGTAAAACTATATTAATTTTTATCTGATTTTATTAAAATGAGAAGAAATGTGCATCTTAGAAGTAATGAAATTCTTAAAATATAATGTTCTGTTTCCCTCCTTTAATATCAAACTGCATTTTGCTTTTTTTTTGCTATAAACAACATAATGCATCTTAGAGAATTTTTTTATATAAGTACATAAACACTTCCCCCATTTTTAATGGCCTCTTAGTATTTCTTTGTATGGATGGATTAATGGGCACTTAAATTTTTTTTTACTGTCTTTTGCTTTACAAACAGTGCTGCGGCCAGTAACCTTCTACACAGTCACTTCACTCAGGCACAAGTAAATCTGAAAAGAAAAGTTTAAGTGCTGAGTCAGTTTTGCATTTGCTATTTTGATAGCAGTTGCCAAATTGCCTTTTTAAAAAATTATACCAATTTATATTCCCATCATCAGTATTTTCCTACACCCTTGCCAAATGTGTCTTAGCTGTTTACATTGCAAAAAAAAAAAAAAGTTCCATTCTGATTTCTAACTTTTAATTTTGTAGAATGTTCATGAAGAAGTCTTACAAGAATATCAGAAGATCAAGCAGGTAGGTATCATCACTGTTGGTTTTCTGACCTGTAGTTGGGAAGTGCTGCATATTTGCAACCTGATTCCTCACTGTTTTTTTCATCTGCAGTCTAGTCCCAATTACCATGAAGAAAAATACAGATGCGAGTATCTTCATAACAAGCTGGCTCACATCAAAAGACTAATAGGTGAATTTGACCAACAGCAAGCCGAGTCATGGAACTGAATCATGGCACTAGAGTTCTGCTTAGACCAGAAGATGTGAATAAACTTAAGCTTATTTATTTAAATTCCCAAATGAGTTTCTCTGAGAGTCTAAAAAAAATGAAACTTTGCCTGTTGAAAGTTTCAGTATTTGTAAACTTGAGTTACCTTTTTTTTTTTCCATTTTACTTTGCTTCCTTGCATTTTTGAAGCTGCTTTTCTCTGGTCCTTTTTTTTCCCCCTTCAAGACTTGTGTTTGTCAATAGAAGTAATTTTTTAGATATTGGGGATCCAGTATCTATACTTCAAATTAGTTTTTTTCCTTAAAAACCTGTTTGTCATTAGAAATAATTTTTTTTTAGATATTGGGGATCCAATATCCACACTTCAAAGGTATGTGTGTTTAAAAAAAACAGTAATGTGCAAGTTGGAATGCTTTTGGATAAACGTAAGCCTATTTTCTGACCTTTCTTAATGCGAACTCTTTGCCTTAAATGGTAGAATATTTAGAAATTTGCACAAAATACAAAAAAAAATTAAAACATTGTTTTGGAGGGTTAAGAAATCTAGAAAGGTGTGAGTATGTATATGTGTATAGCTACACATACACATATGTATATACAGGCTGACTTGATCTAGAACAGTAAATCCACCCTGCCAGTTAACCCCCCATTGCAATGGTTGCCTTAAGGTGTTTGCTAGTTGTGTACATAGTGTGGTTAATTGTTAGCTACACTGCTTCCCACTTGATTGGAGCAATGGGAAGCATACTGTGGCCTACCAGCGTCTGAAAGCGTGTGCGCAAACTGTATGTGTGCAGAGGTGGTGTGGATGTGAGCGTGCATGAAGGAAAAAAGCTGCTACTTTCAGTAGGCCAAACGCTCAGGTTAAACAACTGACGAGTGTTACTGTAGGGTTTTTTTTTTTCCTGTCAAATTGCTACTTCTTTTGTGGAAGACAAAAGCATTTCCATTTCAACAGTTTGTCAGCTTTATTGTTGGGCAAAATTGATATGTTATGAAAATGAAACAGATCTATAGTTTTGGGGCAAAATTATAAAATTAAATGTGTAGGTAACCTATTTATATACTGCTATAAAGTATTTTTTGAAGAGAGATATGCAAAGAAACTATTACCTACATGAAATGTATATTTAAAGATTTTTTTTTCATCCTGGGTGCCAGGAATATAAAAAAGAGCGGATATATTTACCATAACATACTGTGATTCATCAAATAGCACAAACTTTCATTTCATGGAGTTTATCTGTTGACGTTGATTTAAACTATCACTTGTTTTATCGTGGGAACATAAGTTATGTCAAAAATATAAGAATTTTGAACTAATGTTGATTCAAGTTGTGTTGTCTTATTGTATTGTCTTTTCAAAGTGCTGCCAGTTAAAAAGGGAAGCATTATGTTTACAAATCTGTTTTGAAATGTTTGCCAAAATTTTGGTAGTATCTTTAATAAAAATGTTTGTCTCCAGCATCCAAAAAAATAAATAACCTTTGTTGTGTATCGCTGTAAACCAGAAAATGTTAGTATCCAGAAAACCTGAGATAGCATGTAGATGAACTTTTCTCTGTGGAGTTCTTCTAAAACACTAACTGGAAAGATTAGGTAATACAGTAAACGTATAGAAAAGTATGCAGACTATACAAAGACTGAAACAAGGCCCTGTGCACTATAACTCTAGAACATTACTGCGGAAATCTATGTAGCATGGACCTCCTAGGGAGTTCTATTTCTTTTAGCATTGAGATCCCTGGTGCTCTTCCTTTTACCTCAGAATTGGTACAATCATTAAATATTCATTGATTTCAAACTTTCAGTTGAAAAAAGATAGGAAACTTAATTGGGGCTAAATTTGGTCCTCATATTACTGTGGTGGAAGCTGTTGAGGGATTTGTCTGTAGGTAATGACCTCACTGGTGTCATTTCTTGGACATCTCAGCCTTTTAATCAAAGATTGTGTGCTGCTATTTGCTATGAGTGGTATATCTCAAAAGAAAGGTGCTTGGACCACTAACATCACCAATTAGAATCTCCGGGAATAGGTATCCACATTTTCATAAGTATCCTCCAGGTGACTTTTGCCAGCTAAAGTATGAGAACCATTCGATTGGATGTAGTGCTAAACTTTGGGTCTCTAAATCTCAAAGTCTTGAACTGAAGTCCAACTATTGGCTTTTTTTTTTTTTTTTTTAAGATCATTCCTATTGCAGGTACAAATCACTTCCCTTCTATATGATGTGAGTCAGGCACTCTCTATTGTTTCACTGCCACCTCTTATTTCAGGACTTGTTTACAAACAAGCCTTCCAGTTGTTTGTTAGCCCTCTGAGCGCCTACCCACCTACATCAGCATATCTTCTGGTTTACAAATTGGGTAATAATAGAAGCTGGAGATGCTTTACAAAAATCCAGCATTGCACACCCATTGACTTGACCACCAATCTATAAAAGCCTTAATTTAGATGTTTGTTGTGTACATTGGGCAGATCCTTACAAAATGAGTATCTGTCTATCAATTGCAAACTTGAGAGTTGTAAATCTCTGAGTCTATTACCTGAGGCTGCATCTCTTTTGAAGATGGTATAAGCCTAGTAAAATATTTATAATCATTCTTCATCCCCTACTGCTAGATTTTTAAATACTCTCAAATAATTGCTGCAGGAATGGGTGGCTGCTTAGTATCAGTTACTCTGGTTGAAGAATTTAGTTTTTTCGAGAGAAACCGTGTAAAATAGCATTGTCAAGATAAGAGAATGAGTTATGTTGTTGTATTTATATCACATTTCATCTAAAGTAATTTGAAGCACTCTTGAAGATTTTTACCAACATCTAAAAATTAACTCTAGTTTGAATGAGCAGCTGATTTACCACAAATCAAAAAGAACATTAACTAGATATGGTTTTGTTTTTTATGTGGGGATTTCATTTCCTATCTTGTTGGTTTTTATTTCTCTTGGAATACTTTAGAGGGTTAACTTTCAACTCTTAGTGATAGATGTTCAGTACTGGCTGTCTCAAAAGTAATTGGTGTGGTCAGTTTATATCATTGTTCCATGCATTGGTTATAAAATTTCAGTATTAATTTTCTTTCGTCTCTGATCTTTTAACCGTTAGCAGAGTTTTCTTTTCCCTTAAGTATTTCACCTTATTAAGTAAAACAGATGCATATTTGCATGTTGGAAGCAAGATGTTGAAATAAGGTTTAGACACAAATGGTCCATTGGTTCAAACACATTGCTCAGTTGCCATATGCCTTCCATCACTTCGTTCTTTGCTTCGAGGACTTGGCCAAAACTCTTTAGCCAGTCCATTGTCTTTCTGGCAGTGTGAGTATTGAGTCTTGTATGCTTGGTATACGCCTTTACTACTTTTAAAGTTCTTACAGTTTATTACTTGCCTAAGTATTACTAAATCCTTTTCTTATGTGTACAGATGGGGGGAAATTTATAGCCAGCATTTTGAGAGGAACCTGTCGGGAAAGGATATTAACTGAAACTACTAAATGAAGGCAACAGAAGATGTTATCCATGCTCTTTGTAATCTGAAAACTGAACAAGGCTGTGAGGCTCATTTCAAAATATTTTGAAGTGTTACAATTATATATATATCAATGTTGTTTCTCAGTTGTTCCAACCAAACCATGTTAGGACTCTCGAAGGTAAAATGTCACAGGGACTTTTCAGTTGTTACTGAGCTCAGCAACTGTGGTGGCCCCTGTTGTTCTACACCAATTTCAGTTCAATAAAAATGTTAACTTTGCAATTCTGGTACTTGTTTTTCCTTTGTCTCATTTCAAAGCCCTTGACTTTGTCTTTAAAAAAAGAAGGAACACCCACCCCACAACAAAGTGCTCTCTGTGCCCTCATGTAAATGATCCTCCTGGGACAGAGCTATAACTTCTTGGTGACTCTGGGATGTGGGAGCAGCACATCTACTCCAGGACCCAGCCAGCTTTATGAGTGCAGGACATGCCTCTGGCAGCAACATCTGCTCAGGAAACAATAATCATGGCATTTATTGAGGGTTTTCTGTGGGTTACACATTTTGCATGCATTGTCCTATTTCTCCTCACTACAACGCTGTTATACCCATTTTACAGGTGAGTAAGCTGAGGCTTAGAGAAGTTAAGAAAGTTGCCCATTGCACAGCTAGTTTAAGTGGTAGAGCCTGGGAAGCCTGAACTCCATGTCTGTTCTTAACCACTTTTCCATACTGCCCCTCATATGTTGGTCCCTCTTTGGGGTTAGAATAATTTTCACAAAGTGACAGTTCTAACAACACCACACAGGCCGAACTCTCTTGATTCAAAGGAGACTAGAATGTGGGCCTTGGGGGTGATGTCTAGTGGGTTATTCTCAGTGAGATGATTTTATCAGAATTGATAGATAAATTTGAAGGAAGGCCAAAATACTTTTTGAGAAAAGGTGTGTTTATTTTGTTTTTGAATGTGTGCAGTCTTAATGGGCTATTTGAAGGATATTTGGGGCAGTGCAGGTAGAGAGAGGAGACCGAGTACAGCCTTGTAATCACAGTTTTCATATGAAAAAAAGGCTGTCTCAGTAACAGACTCTAGCTCTAGGAGGTATCCTGTCTGAATTAGACATAAGGACATTCTCCTAGCTGAATCCTCAACCTTCCAGTTTCTACAAGTTTTGTGAAGGAGTAATGGAGGAAGAAGGGAAGAAAGCCTCAATTAAACATTGGTATTAAAAATCTAGAATGTTTAGTGCCCACAGTGTTTAGGTTTATGAGGAGCCTCAAAGATGAATAAGGTTCCTAATGTTACTTGTGGCAGTAGCTCTCAGCTCCCTCCCTCTCCTCTCCCCCATCTCCCACCCCCCATCAGACATTTAATATTGTGTTTGTCTTTTAACTTCTTTCCTCAGCTGCAGAGTGAAAATATGCCTTCTTACTGGGTATGGAAGAGGCTTAATTATTGTTTATAAAGCACTTAGGAGTTCCATGAAAAGCAGCTATCTTAATTACAGATTATCTGCTGAATGCAATAGGGAGAGTGTCGGAGCATTATTTTCCAGGTGAGAATGAGTCTGTTTTGACTGACTGCAAAGGAGACAAAGGCAGAGAGAGGCTTGAGGTTTCCAGGTGGAGTGTTTGGGGTTTGTTTTAATGCTAGGCCTTCATGTACCTGCTCCACTGGTTTCACGTTTCTGCAGGAGCTAGCAGTGGCAATAAGTGGCTCTGATATTTTATGATTGCTTAATTCTCAAGTTGGGATCAGATGATTCTGTTGTGTGTGATGGTGGAGATGTGTCATTTACAACTCCTGTCTGCTTAATTTAACTAGCCAGCCAGGCTGGTTCGTCTTACTGTAATTAGATACTTGGTACAATATGGGCATTTGTAGATGGATGATAATTCCATATCTGGGTCTATGAAATGTAGGAGAGTACTTCCTAAAGATGAGCTCACATAATTAGCCATCGTGTTCGAGTTCTAAAGCTGGGGTTTCTAGAGGAATGGCCTTTCTACAATTTGTGGATTCCAATGGGCTTACAGAACTCCACTGTGGTCTAGATAGGCAGCATGATCTACCTTGCCAGTCTCATCTGCTACACCACTCTCTGCACACCAGTCACACACCCTGCCTCAGGTTCTCCAATAACCCCTGCTCCTCCTATCCCAAGGCCTTGCTTAGCACTTGCTGTCCTTTCTGCACCATCAGCTCTACCCTCTGCCCCTTTCTCACTTAGCTAAGTCCTCCTTACCCTTAAGATCTCTGCTTGAACATCACTTCCTCCAGGAAGACTTCCCTAACCCCTCAGACTAACTCAGGTCACCCTGGTGTATGCTCTCATGTTATGCTTCTTTGTGCCATTTAATACAATTATAACAATGCTAATTGCATTATTACTAACTGAATTAGTTCTGTGAAAGTAGAGACTCTTGTTCACTAGGGTGTCCCCAGCTCCTTGCCCAGTGCCTGGTATATAGAAGATACTCAATAATAATTTATCGAAAGAATGAACAAAGCAGATAATTTATGTCATATTTAAAATTCATATGGCCAGAAACGTCCATTCTGTCATTCATTATGCCTTGCCACTTTCTCTTCTCAAAGTCAGGATTTAGAAATTAGTTACTGATGGCACACTGACTTAACTTTGGGAATCCCTTTGCCATGATTAACTGGACACCTTCGAAGGGGACATCTCTTTCCAACGTTGGCATTCACCCCTCTAGTTGCCTCTGGAATATGAGCATCTGTATTGGTCTATAATGGTTTAGAATATAAAGTGAAATGGTTTAGAATATAAAGTGAAATGATTTGAAAAGACTTTTATTATAACTGACAGATTCTAATTTCATCTCTATTTTTTCAGTAGCTTTCACTTCTCAACAATGTGGGAGAGGACAGTGGTGTAAAGACATTTTTCATTTTTCCATCTTCATTAAAGTATCTCTAGCCTGATGTTGCTTTAAATTCAGCATGCGCTTTTACTGACATTTATTTTATGCCTAGCACTTCTGTAACCTCCCATGCAGTAGCCATTTTGAGGATAATCGAAGGACTTTGGGATTCCTGCAATGATGATAGAGCTAACAGAGCCCACCGACAGTATCCAGAACAACTGCCTTCATCTCATTGATGATGAAAAGACGTTTGAAAGGCAGTCCACAGTGAAGCTGGATGAGACCCCAGGAACTTACTTATTCTTCCTAGGGAGGGGCGGAGAACAGCCCGGCTTTACCAAGCCCTGCTTCTGCCACGCACACGCGACAGACTGAGCAAGTTTGGAAGCCTTCCAGCCTGTGTCGCAGTCGTGAATGGGACAGCACCAACCTCAGAGGATTGTCGAATAACATACATGGAGAGTGGTGATGGCACCTCGTAAGTTTTCTATATGCATTTTTATTGTTTATTTTCTAATTATTTCTTTCCATCTTTTCTTTTGATTTGGAGTTTTGTAGCAATATACCTGATAAATAAGTAGCCAGCCAGAACTGAAAACTCTGCAGGGTTTAGATTTTTTCATAACAATGATTGAGTCCCTATGGTAGGTAAACACAACCCAGAACATTTCAAAGTATCTGCTCCTGATTGCTCTATGAAATAAATTTTCTCTGTGAATCTTCTCAAGTACCACATTAGCATCCCCAAACATCATGGCTACCAGAGTGCTGATGCATTCATTCCAAACTGGAGCTTAACTTTTAATATTTTCTCTATTGATTCTCTTCCAGTTGTTTTCATAGGGGAGAGTTTTTAAAAGAGCCTTTTTTTCTGTAAGCTTAAGTGCTTCTTGCCACCTAGTTACTAGGGGAAGTCGACATGGTTCATGGGAAAAGTCTGCCATGAAAATGATCCTCACACCTTGTAATCTTTTCCCTCTCCCAAGGATAGAGTTCATTTAAGTGAGCTTTGCCAAAGGAGTGCCGAGAGGGTCTCCAGGGGTCTCATGGCCACCTGAGCTACAGAACTCTGCAACTGAAAACAGCTGTAAGGGGACACTGGGGACTCTTGGCAAAGCTACCGCCTATCTACCCTCATCCTTCCTTCCTCTCTTTCTGCCCCTGTTGACAAGTCTTTATTGCTGTAGCCAATTACCACCACCCCACCTGCTCCTTCCTTAACTCACTGTTCTCGCCTGAATGAACTATTATGGTTCCTTCTTTCTGTTAATGTGCACATCTTATCATTTTTTCCCTGTCTCTGGTTAAAGATGACTTTGCTTATAGATAGGGAGGCCAGTTCAGAACCAGGGACCTGCAGGCAAGACATGAAAAAGTCTGGAAGGAAAGTTGCAAATGCTTTGTGGAATAGAGAGCAAAGAATGGAACGTGGAGTCCTACACTCTGGGTCCAAGTTCTAGTTCTGAGATTTAACAACACGTGACTCAGAGCAATTTGCCTTGACTTCAATCAACGCTGTCAGAAAGAGTGCCGTGTTAAACCCTATTATGTACGTTTGTGAATTTTCAGTCATAACATTTGTGATTCATCCAGCAAATATTTAATTGTACTGAGGCATTGTGCTAGGTGGTGGGAATACACCATTGAACAAGATAAATGTGAATTAACACATAGTATTTGATTCCGATTGTGGTAAATGCTGCAAAATAAAAGAGTAGCCATGAGAATGAATGATAAGAGGACACAGGACAGTGAGCGAACAGGGCAAGGCCTCCCTAGGGAAATGGCATGGAGGCTAATACTTGAGGGATGGATAGGAGGTGGATGAGAGAAGAGCGTATCAAAGAGAACATGCTGGAAAGGCCTTGAGAAGAAGGCATCTGGCACTCACTGAGTACATGTTTATCCAAATCATTTTTCATTAACAAAAGCCATTTAGGGTCTTGCTTTTTTGTTGTTGAACTTGTTCCCTCCGTTGCTGTTTTGCCCGTCTAAGTACTTCTGGGAAGATGAAGCCCAGACACAACTTGTTCCTGAGGACCAGGCACTTCGGGTTTTTGCCTTATCAGAGGCGTTTTGGTATTTGGGGTTCTTATCTGGTGGCCTTCTCAGGTTGCTAATAAGTTCGGGGGGGAGTTTCCAAAATAGATATCACTTTAGTGGCCAGTCGATCTCAAACCGGTCTGAACTTTCATATGGGAAAGTTTGAGCTGGGGAAGGACAGTGACTGCCTTTCTCAGGAACTGGCGAGCCTGCCATCTCTCCTGAGGTCGGAGGGCAGTGCAGAAGGAGTGCAGAGGGAGCCAAGATTGACAGCTGCCCTCCGCTGCTGGAGGTATCTGGAGTTATAGTAAAAAGTCCTGGCCACACTGATAGAGCCCTATCAGCCA